TTTTAGAATGGTTCAAAAGAAGAATTTCATATTTGAGGCTCTTCTTGTTTCAGATGTTACTAGTTAGTGGTCAGCCACCGTCTGTCCTTCAGCAACTGTGCACGCTGCCGTTTTCGTACTTCTCGGTTGAAGAGTTCTCCAGAATTTTGTATCCTACTCTTTTAGCTTGTTGTGTCGGCAACGAACATACAACAGCAATTTTGAAACAAGAGCTTTCATATGAGGTAAGTTTCATTGCAAAAGTCATGATTATTACTTTAGAAATGTGTTGAATTCGCCAATAATTGAGAGATATTTTCCGGATTACGTATTAAGTTCCTGAATTAATATACATAAGTAATAAAAAGACCTGGAATTTTATAAGTTGACCAAAAAATCGTTCCCTTTTCAAAAAATATTACAGAAAATTCGATCATTTGATTTTTTTTTGTACCTATAACATACCTCCTATTGCTTCCAGACTCTCGAAGACTTCAGAAAATCGGAATACGGTAAGGAACATCGTTTAGTGAAATTACTTTCTAACAAGTGATTCGATTAACAAATAATAAAGGGCTATTCCGGCGCCTTTAACACATTTTTATTTTTCCAAAGCTTGTTCAATAAGATCCGTAAAATCTGACATTTATATACGAAACAGTTATAAACAAATGACTGCATACGTTTATGTTGCACACAAGTTAATATTACAATGTATTATTTTTGTCGTAGAGCGTTTGTTTAAATTACGTTTAGGGTTTGCGTAAAATTGTATTGTGATAGAAACGGATTTTTAAAATCGTGAAAACGTACTTAGAACATGAGTTGATCTATTATGTGATTTATTACGTGTAGGTTATTAAAATTATGATTTAACTTTGTGTTAACGAATGTATATTACTTATTTTATTGCATGTAAAAATCGGAACTTCTTAAAACAAAAAATATAAATACAATTAATGCTCGCATTTAAACTAACGTGCTTTTTATTTTCTCTAATTATACCCAAAAGTTAGTTACCTTTGCCGAAGCAGTATTTTGTCCTTCAGTGGCTCGTAATGTATCTATAATGTGTACTAAAACATTAACCTTTGAAATTAACCAGGACCAGATTAATCACTATAGTAATACCAAGGGTCAACCAGAGTATTTTCTAGATTAGTGATTCTAACCCTTCACGGTACACTTTTGGTAATTTAAAATTTATTAAAGAAATATCAAGACATAATAACATATAGGAGATGTATTGGGTTCCTTTTATATTTAGTGTTCCAAATCAATTGGTATTTTAGAATACCTCTAACACGTATAAAATGTTTCGGAAATATCTCAGAATTTGTCCTTATAATCCAGATGATGGATGAGATTAATTTGGTCTGGATTTAACACAAACAATTTACCCTTTTCTTGGTGGGTTTAAACAATAGGTATTGCAACCCTTTGATTTTTAATTAAGTATCTAACGAACTATTAATTTAATTAATGCTATTATGTATGTCTATCTGCAATGTTTTTCGTTTATAATGCAATGAAATAAAAAAATACATGGTTAATTAAATATGCTTAGTCATAATTAAATTTTCGAGGTAATCAATAATTTACCCTTTTCTTGGTGGGTTTAAACAATAGGTATTGCAACCCTTTGATTTTTAATTAAGTATCTAACGAACTATTAATTTAATTAATGCTATTATGTATGTCTATCTGCAATGTTTTTCGTTTATAATGCAATGAAATAAAAAAATACATGGTTAATTAAATATGCTTAGTCATAATTAAATTTTCGAGGTAATCAATAATTTGCGCTTTAATTACTTTAATCGATTGTGATGTTGTTTAATGTAATGATTAAAATTCATATTTTACGTGTATTTTAAATTTTTTGTTAAATGTAATGATTAAAAATCATATTTTATGTCGAATAAATTTTTTTCTACAAAATGCTATGGGATTTTATTTCAATTTTACGATCATGGCTAAACAAGGCTTCTAATAATTTTACAATTTCTTATAATTCTTTTATAATAGTAACATATCAAGTGTACTTTACGTTGTACAACCCTCAGAGTGCAGTAAAAGTATGAGTGGAAAGTCGCCGAGAAAGTAAGGTAAGTTTTATTTTTATTATTTTACATTATCTAAAAATATTGATAAATAATAAGAGTAAATAATAAAAACAGGTGCCTAGGGGGTGCGGTGTACTGGGGCCCCAAGCGCTCAAGGGGCCCCCGTCCCGGAAAAACACATGTCATCTTATTTTTGTCACTATTTTTACCATTATAGTTATTTACATAATAAAAGTAACGGATGCTAGAGTAGGTACCCAAAAAATATTGATTATCTAACTACGCAACTAAATAAATTATGGAATAAAATTAAGGCATCACTACAAATCTTGGGCATTAGTTTCTAATTCTGTCTGGAATTATTATTTGACAAACATAATTTGAAAGTTTCTTTTTGA